TCAAAATCTCGTCAATTTGAGCATTAAAACCATGCTTAAACATACATATTTCTGAATGTAAATCTGATTATTTTTCTATTTCAGAAGCGACTCGATGTCTCCTGCCCTGCCCCGGAAGATGCCTCGAGTTTTTACAAGAGGTTGGGACTGGACATTTTGGCCCTGTCCTCAACTTCCGGGCAGCCTGAGGAGGTCTCAGTTTTGTTTTACTTTACACTGTAAATAAAACAAAAGAGTAAGTGTGGCCAAAATTAATTATGTTACTTTTATATTTTTGGGTTTCAAATCAAATTTATTCATCAAAAAACTTTTCGACATTAAACATTGAACGCTAATAATGCATTATTTTTTCTTCTTTAATAACGATTATTCATGGTATTATTCATTTGATTTTCAGACTGAGCCACCCAGAAAGCGTTCAGTGCAGCAAGCGAGCCACATAGTCCGACAGAACACTAAACCTACTCAGAGGCCCGACAGAGTAGGACAACAGTGGGTCAGTAGTACCACAGTGTTATACTAATGAATCTATAATTACTATGAAATACTGAGTATAATTTATTTATGGTCTCAAAATGTTTTATTTAAATTTCAGACTCAGTTTCAACAGAGAGATAGGCATTCTCATGCAATCAGTCAAAATTATCCTCATGGAACTGGAAATAATGGAAAGACAGAGTCTGTGAGCAATGCATCCTCCTACCGGCCGCAACATTTGCAACAAACTCGTCCATATGAGCATCATATGCATGCCAGGGCAGGTTTGGTAAATGGAAGAGCAAACGGGGCAAACCAGTATCCTCAACAAAGGCAACCAGCTCGTTCTGATTATCAGACTCATCATAGGACTGATTTAGTGAATGGTGGTGATTTCCGCCGCCATCAAGAAGTGCAACCTGCTCCTGTACATCCAGGGACTGAGTCAAGAGCCGCAGCTTCCTTCCACAGAGCTCAGCATGTGCAACCTGCTCGTCCTCAACAGAGAGTGGTTCGCAAAGAGGTAAAATATTGCTGCCATTCTAAATTTCTAATACACGTCCTAATTTTAGGAGAAAAAGATACCCTTCAAGATTTTTTTTGAATACAAAAAGTCATGTGGGATTTGATTAAAAGAAATTAAAAATTATGAATGTATATTTCCAGCCTCAGGTGAAGCCCATAAACAGATACGCTCCACCAGATTACATGACAATAATGTACCACCCGACTCCGACACTAGAGGACCTGGGGTTAACCAGATATCTGGACAGTCCTCCGTCGTCACCCAGAGCTACATCACCAGTCCGGGAGTTCACAAACATTTCAGAACAGGAGACAAAACAGACTCTCTCAGGGAACGGATTGTCCATGCCAACTTTGACAACGCAAAAACAGATGATTGGTAGATCTCAGACTGTCTCAGTCAACAACTCGGTAAGTACTGAAGTCAGTCGGCAGTTGGCTAAATCATTTTTAAATGTCATATTGGAACATTAGACTGAATAAATGAATCTACAAAGTGATGTCAAATCAGTTTTACAAACAATTCCTGAAAATAAGAAATAAAATTTATGAAATACTACTCCATAACATTAATTTTGACTTCATTTTCTATTTTAGAATAATAACTCAACAAGGAACGTCAGACCTTCAGCGCACGTCCCAAAATTTGCTCCTAAAGGCTGGGCCCCTCCTTCTGAGGCACGCAATCCCTCCCAGAGGCGTGGTCAAACAGAGAGAATGGGGGGAAGTCACGTTGCACTAACAATGACTGCTTCTTCTGTGGGTGCAAAAACTGAATCAAAATCTGTCAATCCTGCAGGACAAATGAACAGTGTTGCTGTGAACAGATCCAAGAAAGCGGCATGTGATTGGGTAAGCAAATACTATACTGTTATTTTTAGCGAACAAAAAATATTAAAGTTGGAATTTATTTTGAGCGTAATATAATTTAAAAATTTTAGCAATTTTGAGGAAATTTAAATTCTTTATTTCTAGGACAATATTTTTATTTACTAAAAGATATTTTATCGGTGTCAAAACCATCGTTAATAATGCAAAAATTACTGTAGGTTCGCAAATTTCGTGACACATTAATTTTGCGAGATGTTCTTTTGGTATACATGTATATTTATTAGCGTAATTTTCAAGAACTCTGGTTATTGTTCTATGTAATTTTTTGCATTTAATTACATGTATACGCTTAGAATTAAATTTTCGCGAGCAGACAGTTACATGTAATTATGCGAAAATGACATTCTCGCGGATAAAACATAACTATGGGCAGCAAAATAATTTCTGTAATATGGTATAAACAGAACTTATAAGTATCAACAATTCAAATACATGTATCATTATTTTCGGGAAACAGTAATTGGAAATGCAAATTGACATATACCAGTAAGGTATGTGTAATTTTCCTTTCTTTTTTACAGTCAACACTTGCTGCGCAGTATTCCACAGAAAGTTGTCAGTCTGACAGTCAGGAGACGAGACGTGACGCAGTGTATAGACGCTACAATGGTGAAGCGCGCCTCTCAAGTAATCAAGAGACGCATGACGCACAGCGTCGCCAGAACCAAAACGCATGGCGTCAAATGAATAATACGTCACAGATTCTTCCCTCCAACCAGCAGATATATGACCAGGTGAAACATGTTTAAATTTTAATTTATCTGCTTAAACATTATTTGTCATGAACATAATTTTATTTATTTTGGCTATGGCTTTATTAAGTTTCAATAAAATTTATATACAGTGTAAAAAAAAATATATTGAAACTAATGCATGGCCTAAAAGATGTTTTTATTTTTTTTAGATAATGGCTCAGGAGAAAGCTAGACAAAATGTTCATCAGCAACAGCTTGAGTCCAATGTCAAGTCTGCGCAGATTACAGGCGTCAAAATGGAGGAGTTGATTAGCTCGGAGACGAAGGTGGGTTTTTCTTTTGGTTTTATTTCAAAATGCTACTTTTCAGACAGTTTTGATCTGATTTCTGCTAAAAAATTGTAAACATGCATTTAGCCTGTACTAAGGATATTTTATTCTTTCAAGATTTGGTGGTTAAGTTAGAAAATTTCGAACATTTGTATTCCGTCTGTACAAATGTTAGGTCTAAAGAGAGCACACCAGAGTATGTGCATGATTCAAATACAAATACACGATCTGTGATATTGACTGTATCTTTTGAACGTTGGGTTTTCTTTTCTTCCATAAATTTGGATGTGAAATGAGTCTCTGCTCATAACAGACTTAAACTTCTTTTTTTTTTAATTTATGAATCAGTTATCAGTTTATGTGTCCTCTGAATAGCATTATCAGCTTAATTATCGTAGGGTTTTGTCTGTTGCAGGAAAAAGTGCTTGGAGACATGAATGATCTATTTGGTGGCATGTCGCCATTTAGCTGCTGGATGCAATCACCAACCAAAGATCCAAGATTTTCTTAGCATCTGAGCTTTGTGTCCATTTTGACAGTCACAACATGACTTTGTCAAAAGCAGTTTCCTCCTGGATTTTGAATGGAAACTTTTGCATTCTTATAGACTTTTACTACCACGTGCATTCTTAGAGACTTTTACTACCACGTGCATTCTTAGAGACTTTTACTACCACGTGCATTCTTTGAGACTTTTACTACCACGTGTATTCTTTGAGACTTTTTACTACCACGTCTTTCAAAGGAGCTGTCAGTGACATACAGGCAAATTATTTGTGATTTTATTATTAGAATTAAATAATACTTTTAATTGACATTTCGTTATTGTCTTGGACAATTTTCTCATCGTTGTCTGTGACAACCCTCTTTTTATATATTGTTTGTGACAATGATTTTTATTGAAAGCACTATGTGCTGCTTAAATAATAAATATTGCTAATTTTAAAATGTTTGAAGAGAGAAGATGGGAAAGAAGAAAAATCTCCTTGTACTAGTGATTCCTGCAAGAAATCAGGTGTCAAAATTGGCAGATCCAGACTTTTTTTCGACACAAATATTTTTTTAAAAAGTAACACGTGAAATCAGTATGATCAAAAGGTTGAAACCAATTTTCTGACATACATTTACTGACATTTTTAGAAAGTAAATAATATTGTTCAAAAAGTTTCTTACGAAATAACTTCATTGCTTCAATGGTAACAATGTTGATTAATAAACAAGAGATGTTTGTAAAACACTTATATGCCCCCCTCCCCCCAAATTGGAATTTTTCTGAGTCCAAAAGGGCATAACTCTGTCAAAAATGGTGCCATCGTACCCAAAACAGAACTTGACCAAGATTTTTATCTGATAAATCTGTATACTAAATTTCATTTCAGTATGTGCAACCTATGCAAACAAAATGAAAAGAAACTGCAAATAATTGAATTTTTTCTAAGTCTAAGGGGCATAACTATGTCAAAAATGGTGCAATCTTACCCAAAACAGAACTTGACCTAAATATCCATATGATAAATCTGTATGCTTAATTTCACATCAGTATGTGCAATGGTTGCGAAGAAAATGAACGGAAACTGCAAATGATTGGAATTTTTCAAAGTTTAAGGGGCATAACTCTGTCAAAAATGGCGCGATTTTACCCAAAACAGAACTTGGCCTAGATATCTATATGATAAATCTGTATGCTTAATTTCACATCAGTATGTGCAATGGTTGCGAAGAAAATGAACGGAAACTGCAAATAAGTGTAATTTTTCTAAGTCCAAGGGGCATAACTCTGTAAAAAATGGTGCAATCGTACCCAAAAGAGAACTTGACCTAGATTCTCATGTGTTATACCTGTATACCAAATTTCATTTCAATAAGTGCAACGGTTGTGAAGAAAATGAACGGAAACTAAGTGGACCGACAGACAGCAGCAAAGCAATATGCCCTCCCTTCTTAGAAGGGGGGCATAATTATTTTTAGATTTTCCGTTGCAAAATATTGTTTATATTGAGACTTATTCACATTTATCAGAATAAAAATAGTTTAGAGGGTCTTTTCCCCTTTTAAAGGACCTGTCATTTGCATTTTAACCTTCTTTGGAAGAAAGATAAAGTTTTGGATTAAAAATTCCAGTGCGTGCTTTTTTCTGATTTTAACATTTCATGCATCAGTACATTGTCAATTTATGGATGAATTAAGAATGCATGAGCAAAAAATGTTAATTTGAGCTTTATTCACGAAAGTGTGTATTGTTCATCTGGAATGAATGTCAGACTAAAGCAAACTGATTCTGTGCATCCCTAGATAGATGTAATCATTAATAAAATTTTGTTCAACAGAGTTTATAGCTAAACTTGCAACATATTTTGCTCCTACAACTTTAAAATTGGGATGTCAGTTCTATGGTGTACACCATAAGCTCAACTTTGATTCCTTTGTTGAGCTCAAAAGAAAACAAAAAAAAAGATGAAACTTTAAGAGTTCTTCAGAAATTTTAATTCAACATTAAATAGCTATAACAATTTAACTGCATTGACTTAAATTTGACACACGTGGACCTGGACATTAGCACCAAATTGTCAAATCAAGAAAATTACTGCTCAACATGGACATTACTAAACTCTGAATCAACAAATATCATGGATTTACAAACACAACTATCTGTTGCTGTATGCTATAATCAAAACACAACCAAGTTAAGTTATTTTCTGCATAAAGAACCAAAAGTCACATCCCATCTTTTATCACAGAAAAAGGAGATTCTTCTGGATTAATCTCAGTTTTCATGGCGTTTCCAATTTAGCATTCAATCTTTTTAAGAAAATAAATCAAAATGATTTTTTTTAAAGATACATCAAAAAGAAAAATAAATTTTCTAACATCAGACAGGTACATACATGTATTACAATGTTATTACAACAATATGTACTACATTCATGGAATGTTCATACATTATAGGACATTAATAAGGATCACAATAAATCATTACACTGACAGGTTTTTACCTATTAAGATGTCTATCTTTATGAATGCACAAGAACAAATGTTTGAAACCTTAGCACTATACACTGAAAAAACATGAACAAAACAAAGGCAGCACTGCATGTGCAAAATAAGAACACAATTCATAATTGGGGACTAGAATTTTTGAAGGAAATAAGTAAATATAAAGGCAGTGACCATTCACTGAAATCCTAAAAACACGTCTACACATGAGAAGGAAAATGGCAAAAAGAAATAAGAAAGAAAGAAAAGAAAACAGTTGTGCAAAAGCAAAGTGGACATTTGTAAAAGGAGACTTGAATCAATTATGCTGGGGGTGGGGGTGGTGTTAAAACCACACATATGCAAACAACACAGCTTTGAACTGTTCTTAATATCCTTACTTGTAATCCCCCCTCCCCTGCAAGTTCATGTTTAATGTGAATCTTTGGGAGATGGGCAGGGGGTTACAAGTAAGGATATTAAGTATCATAGTGTATAGTTTAATGACAAGCTTTTGAAAAAATTAAGAGTGGCAAAAAATAAATAATTTTAAAAAATTAGATCTTTAAAATATTTCAGTACAAGTTTTGAACCTGTTCACCAAGTGAAACAACACCTCATTTCTTTGTTAGATTATCAAGAAAAAAAAATATTTAAAATAATTCTCCACTTTCCATTTGCCAAATGCCCCTTGTGTATGCAAGATACAAAGAAACTTCATATACAACCCAGATAAACAGCTCAAATTAACCCTCTCAGATTACACCACTACCATCAACTAGCATTCCACAGACGATATAAATACTAGCGGCGAAGCAAACATCATGTCAATAATTTGTATAGTTGTAAATGTGCCTTAAGAAGAACGAAGTTCATGAAAGTTAACTTAAATTTAAATTCTTAAAAGATAATTAATCAATGTTACATTAAGCATATGTGAGTAAACTATGAACAAAATCCCTCACCGGTACCGGACAAATTCATTAGGTAATTAATGATTAGTTAATAAGTTAACATATAGACAAAACTGAATTAATTCTGATTTTCAAGAAGTGATCCTTAATATCTATTGCAACAGAAATGAAAATTTGAATTATGCTCTTCTCTTTCAAGACAAAAAAGAACATTATCAAAATTAAAGCTAATGTTTGCAAAATCAGCACCATTATTTGATCAGTGAATTAAATCAGAAATACTGGTGTTTTTACTATACTTGTACAAATACTGAATCTAATTATGACATAATTTTCATTCCGTTTTAATTAATTTGTCAGTACTATAAACATGTATGTATCAAACTCAATGTAAACCCCATCTTGAAAAACATGTTTATGTACATCTAACTCTATAAAGTGAACGTTGCTTATTACAAAGTGACAAGGAACAATTTTGATTCATCATTAACATAATTCATTCTGCTAAATTGATAATGTATGTGTTTTAAAAATACAGGAAAGAGCATTTTTCCACTGTTAACTTGAATTCATCATATTAAGCTTGCATGCTGTAACAGAGCTTTACTACACAAGGTAAAAATAAATTAATCTGTAGAACCAGATAAAATGGCAAAAATAAATTAAACTACTTTAATGCCCACAAATAAACTTGTGAAAATAAAGCCTTAACCAATCAGAGAAAGACCTATCTTTTCTGCACTGCAGAAAGGTCAATACTTGATGCCCTTTTATGCGACTTCTTTTTGGGATGTCCAGCGTTGCTTTTGTCTGGAGGTCGGCCACTGAACTGACCATTGGCTGGCTTTGAACAAGAAAATGTAGGTGCTAAAGTCTGAATGACAGGATAAACAAACATGCAATGTCCATTCTGACTTGTTTTGTTGGAGGCAGCACATTCCGAAGACGAAGATTTCTTCATCAGTTTTTGTCCATTTGCACTTGAGGGAACTGCCTTATTAGACTGTTGACCTTTGTTCGCCTCTGGGAGAGAATTTGGGCAACTAGTCTTTCTCTGTGCCAAATTGTTCACCGACTCTTTATCTTTCCAAAAGTACGACAGCAGTCCCCCAGAATTCCTCTCTGGCTTGGTGCTTGATGTCAATTCTTTGGGTATATCACTAGTAAATAACAGCCCAGCCTCACTATGACTGTCAGCACTTATGTTTTTCAAATCTTCTGGGAGATTGTGGATTTCTGTAGATTTCGAAACTTGCACTCTGTTTCTTTTCTTCTTTTTTCTTCTCTGAAAATCTCTTTGCTGTAAAGTGAAGGATTAAAAATTGAAAGAGTTTTAAATATTATGGAATTTAAAGCTACATGTATGAATATAATAAATGTAATGAAATTTTTTTTATTTAAAGCTATAAATATAACAAGCAAATTCAATATCCTTCGAAAATATGTCAACAAGTTATTGATTTAACACTACAGCAAAACTTGGTTATAACCAAGTTGCTGGGACCTTTGAAATTACCTCGCTATATCCGTAATTCGTTATAACCGTATAAGAAATTCATTTAATTTATATAGCTGGGGATCCAAAATGACTTCGCTATAACCGTGAATTCGCAATTGATGTTTTAGCTGAATCTAGATAAAAAATAATACAAAGACATTTAGATTATTTGATTTAAAAAACCCAAAATCGCTAAATATAATACACCGCTAATGTAATACATTTACAGTATTTTTAAAAATAACAGTGTGCTTACTCTATTAAAAAGTTTTCTGAGAGAGAGAGAGAGAAAGAGAGATTACAAAATGAAGATGCATGTTTTATTATGGAAGTAAAACATTTCCACATCTCTTTTACAAAAAATGCCATACCCAGTGAAGGATCACTGCTGTGTTTCTGTAGTTGTCCCTCAGACATCAGTATTTTGTTTGGTTTCCTGGCTCCCTCAGTGTAGGAATTCCGCCTTGGAACCTTGGACACATCCATACTTAGCGGCATTCCTTCAATCAGCTTCTTGACCTCCGGGGGCATGTTAACCACAGTAGATTTACCTCGCCTCAGACAAACAAGGAGAATACAGAACAGGACAAAAATCTCCACAGTTGTAAAGAAAACCTGTCTATCCAGGACCTACAAAAGATACTCAATTTATAATAAACCTTGATTCATATCTCCTCACATTTCAAAAACCTTGCAGTTTTGTCTGTAATAATACTCTCTTTATGAAATAAAAATACTTTACGTACTTTTGCAAACTACAAAAATCTATTATGAATTTTTATTTTATATCTTTGTGTACCAAATTCTTTTGATATTAACAAAATCTGCGGAAATTATGCACACTTAATATTAATGCAAGACATAGTGACAGTCTGAGAAATTTGCGCAATTTTTGACCTGCGGATTAAACGAAAATAGAGAATCTGCAGAATTTTGACCCCGTGGAAAAAAGAATGTCTACAGTATTCTTATAACAGCTGTAAGTGTACCTGTTTGTTGAGATGAAACATCTCGTCTTGGAGTCTGTACACCATGTCTGTCAGGTTATCTAAGCGGTGTTCCAGAAAATTGATCTGCACCTGTTGTTCTCTGTCCTAAAATAAATGTAAAAATGTGATACAAAAAATATTTTTTGCAATAAATATTTAATGTTTTAAAGTTTCATATTACAAGTGGAATTAGTTACGAAAATGACATCCTAGGAATTTCTTACAGGTATTTTCAAAAATGAAAAAGACCTTCAAAGATTTCAAAGCATTGAACCAGAGAAAATATTTATCACAAAAAATGGGGATATAAACATGTTATCATATCACAACAATGTGTACCCTACATGAATTTGTAGCATTTTCTCATGTGCATGAAAATAAAGATTAAGCTGTCAATTTTGGAAGTCTTTCTCATAAACACAAAAGTAAAAGCTTGACTTTTTTTCAAAATAAAAGGCATTTGAGAGAAAGTCTTATTTTCTATTGAATGAGAGATTTTTTTCATCCTTACTCTGAGCTCGGCGACCATAAGGTCTCTGGTAACATTCTCAAATTTAGCAGTCAGCAGTTTCTGCATTTCCTCTGATTGCTTCTTAAACTTCTGAGTCATCTCATCCAAAAACCTGAATTTGTGTGAAAAAATTGTCAGTTTAGATTTATAGTTAAAAGGTACACTTCATAATATTTTATAATTTTTCTTTTAAATTCTACCTATCTTAGAAATTTGCAAAAACATTATTATTTACCGTTACTATTAAAAATATTTGTAAACTTTCTGTCAGTTTACCTGCTGCTGAGAGAAACATTAGTTTCCAGAGCTTTGATCCTATTGGTCAGTCTCATTATGGCCGTTTCTCGTTTCTGCAGAGGCAGGATGGGAACCTTGACCAATCGGAGGTTTTTCTGTGGCGTGTACTCAATGTCGTCTGCTGACAGTGTATAGCTGGATTCAGTGGTCTGCTCCATTGTGTCTGGGGCAGGGGTCACTGTGGCTTGGGGATAACTGTCCTCTGTGTGCCTGTCCCCCTCCTCAGAAGTCTGGCCGCTCACTTCGGTGTCCTGAGAACTCTCTGTCTGTACAGCACTGCTGGTTGTGATGGAGGCACCATTAACCTCTGGAAGGTGCATTTTCTGCTCTGTTTTCTGAAAAATTCATTATACAATACCAATAATAATGTGAATGAAATGTAAATTAAGGAGAAATACATGGAATAAAATAACATTTATCTCAGACTTACACTTTCCTCTGTTGAAGATGGTGAGGTTGAAACTGGAACTGTGTCAGACACTGGCATTGTTGTAATGGATTCTGTCTGCTGTAGATGTGGAGTCTCAGAAAAGGAATCCGTACTAACATCAATAACAACACTGGGCTCTAGTACATTCTGACTAGATTCCACTTCTTTGTGACTAGTAGAGGACTCAGCTGTTGGTATCTCCCAAGCTACCGTGTTTTCCACAGAAACAGAAGATGTGGCTCTGACTTCTGGACTTTCTGTTTTGTCCATTGTTTTCTGAGATGTTGATAAAACAGGCGACTGATCAAATCCTTGCTGAGTTTTTGTTTCTTTTGTTTGAATTGTACTGTCTTGTACAGGAACTTCAGATTCAAGAGTAGGAACATGTGTCTCTGTTGAAATTTGAACATCAGAAGTGGGAGAGGGCGTGGGGATAAAACAAGGTGACTGACTTTCCCCTTCTCTCTCTGTTGGAGTTTCCATCACTTCAGATGTAGGGGTGGTTACCACCTCTGTGTGATCCACAACCTCCTTCTTTACCGTTACTGAGGGTGTCGCTGTTGAAGATTCAAATGTCCTTGACCTTGGTAGCAAGGTAAATTCCCCAGGCACCGAGATCCAATCTCTTTTTAATGCTCGCACATAACTACACATTGACAAAGTGGACCTCTGTCGGTGGCTAATCTTGAATCTGTGTGGAAGAATACATGACAGAAACATCTCATACAGAGTTAAGCGCTTCTTGTGATTTCCACTTTGTATTAAGGAAACCATGGGAGGCTTTAATTGTTCACTCGGCATTTGTTCATGGTCCTCCAGCTTGGTAACTATGGATACAGCAGGATCCAAAAGATCCGGTTTCATGTCATCACTTACAGTCCCTGCAAAAAAATTCAAAAATCCTCTAAGAATTAACATTATAAATGCTCCCCCTTCTCAATATCCAGAAAAAGACATACATTGTGGGAGATTTTTGTCATCATTTCTCAATAATTTTTTTTTATTCATACCCAATGTTTATCTAAATCAGTCATACCTGGAGTATCACATGGTTTTTCTAGCTCAGCAGGACAAGAGGTGATGGTGGGGGGTTTGGGGGAGGTCTCTCCTTTCCCAGTGTTCACTACATCGGCCTCAGTCTTCTCTTTTTGAACTCTGTCAATGTAGAATTTACTGCTCTAAACCAATTTCTAGTATACATTTGTATATGTACTTGTGAGTATATGTAGTTGAAATGTGCTATTAAAACTTTAATGTCATCTTAAACTGTCAAATTATGAAATATATACATGTATCACTTAATATAAGAGAACTCAGTTACAAATTACAGTCTATGCAATTTTTTTTAATTCAGCCACACAACTTACAATCTTTAGACTTATTATAAAAAGTTGCTAATGAAATCGTATGTAATGTAGGATTAATTGTAGACTAGACACAAAGTTATCTTACTCTGCCTTAGGTTCACAGGGCGCCATCTTCTCCTGTGCTGCTGCCTTGTCAACATCAGTCACGTTGTTTGAGGTGGCATTCAGAGGCATGGTATCTATACATGACATGAAATATGCACACAATTACAATCAGAGTAACTGCAAAAATTATTGTCACTCATAAATGTAAAATTAGTAAAAATTATTAACGTTGTATCTGGAAAATCTATAGGGTTGTGCACTTAAGTGATTTCACTCAAGAAGAAATTTGGAAGGGACACTTACAGGTATTTCAAATGATGGAAAATGATCATACAAATGGTAAACTTACGTATTCAAAAAAAACAACAGATTATAAACACTTTTCATTTATAAGAACTTTATTTTTCCTGTAATAACCTGAAGCAACCTGAACCAGAATTCATCAACATTTTGTATTGATAATTAAGAATAGATAGCTACATGTATTTTGGGAAAATGAGTTGTTCCTACATGTAAAAATTTTGTGATCTACAGTGACAATCCATCAATATTGACAGAATTCATTGAGAACAAGAATTGATCAAAATATGGGGTAAGTAATCTATAGTTCTCACATGAACATTTGTAAACTGGCTAGTGACATCATTACCGGCCGCCAGGAGGCGGTCGGTTATATGATATGAAAGTTTTAAGTCGCTGTGCGTTTCTGCGGAGTTAACAATTTAAATAAAAATATTTAACATTCATATCGCCGGGGAATCAACATGATCAATATTAAACAAAGATTTTCTAAATGTTTAGGAAAAAGCACAATAATCGTAATATTAAATTTCATAAATAATGGGGTAAATATTTCATCCAATCCTGATTGACAAACTCTGATATAACTGAAGTGCGGAGAAAATTAGTACGAGTGTTAGGCATAGTCTAAAACAAAGCCCGCGTTGTAAATCAACAATTTTACTTTCTCTTTTTAAAACAGGATCTGCTGTATTTATTTGAAATGAAGTGTATATTTAAACATTTCCTATGGATGTTTTTCAAAAATATGATGAAATATTGATTTCTTAAAAAGCAAAGAATATTACGACATGTTAGTCCAGGAGACTAGGATATAGGATAGAGCTCGTTTTACAATGTGCCAAACATTTTCCCGCCACATCTCAACACCAAAACAAAGAGATTGAAAGAGAAGAAATGTAGTGGTGGATCTAGAAAGAGTTGGGGGGGGGGGGGGTTAACATCCTCTAAGATAGAGTGAGGAGCCCCACATATTATATATTTGTTGCGTTTTTATTAAGGTAAAACTATAGCTGAGTTCAAACTTTAGTTTTGTACGTTTTATGTAAAGAATAAACAGCAAACTCACAAGAGTTCAAAACTGAGTGCAGAGACGCAGAGGACTATATGAACAGTCTATATTGACTATACATGTAATATTGTACATGCATTGTGCATGAAGAAAATCGGCACATGCAACGAGGATATTTTGATAAATATAAAAAAAATAAAAAAAAAAAAAAAAAGCAAATTTCAGTTTCTGAAATAATTTCAACTAGTGACATGTTTCTTGTGTGTATCTACATGTATATCTGTATAATACTTACTGTTGAGTTGTGAAATTTCTGATTTCTCCTCAACATTTAAAACTTTCTTTACCAGTTTCAATACAGTATCTGAAAGAAAGGAAATCACATGCAGAAAAGTATTACACATGTTCCTGCAAATTTTGATCAAGGTTGCAATGGTGAAACAATTTTTGCCAGATTCTCCAAAAGATCAACTTCTTTATTCTTGCCATAATTATTTTACTTTAATAAATGTACCACCCTCAATACGTAAATCATTGTTAGTATAAATTTGGTAAAATTGATTCTCAAAAATAACATTATTCTGTAAGTCAAAAAAGATGGTCAATGTCAAAAATCAAAAGGAATTATACCATCAAAATAACTGTTTTTAGGTTTTTTTCAAAAGGATTTTATTAAGAAACAACATTTCAAAAACTTACAAATGAGAAAGAAATCCTTTTTTAGCATGTTTAGGCCCAGTATTAGAGAAACTGTTAAGAGTTTTCTGAGAGCAAAAAGGTGAATTGTGTTTGATAGGATTAGTATACTATTCTTTATTAAGTTTGAAAATGTTAGAAGAGATAGAGGAGCTTTTTGACTGAGAGAACTTAACCTTACAGTTAAGCTTAACGATAGATGTGTCATTAGAGAAATGAGAGATAGAAAGAGAGAGAAAACTGTATGTTTACCACCTATTTTCATACAATAAAAAAAGGCTGTAATTAAAAGTATAAAAAATAGGGTTTTAGTTATTGAACATCAGAAGTGGATGAGGGCGTGGGGATGTCACATACATTATAATGCTAAAAAGGAAAGTTATTGTCCAATGATGTTATAATTATTACAAAATTATTTCTTTAGACAGTTTTAAACAAATAATTGATGAACTATAATTTGAAAAGATGAATATCCTCTAGTTACACCCTTTTCTTTAAATCCCATTAATAGGGTTATATGTCATATGTTGAATTTAAAAAATTACCTTTAGCACTGGAGAACAAATTCTTTGGTTGATCTGAGTCAGCTCCCTCAACACTATCAGACGCTAAAAAAATATGACCAAAAAAAATGCATTGAAGTTCATGTAAAGATTTATCTCCCTTATAAACTACTGTAAAACATGCACTTAACAAATATATAAACTGGTAGTCACAATATGGCTACCATTTTAAGTTTACTAATGGTTATACAAATGGCTAGCCTTACTGCTTTCCCCACTGTGCTCCCCCTCCTCATGTTGAGATTCCAAGTCATCATCATCATCTAACTCCACTGGTAATCCATACACCCTGAATTCACAAAAATAGGAAACACAATTACTTCATGCCAAGTTTACCAACAATGACAACCAATCATTCTTTACACAAGTTTAAACAAATGTTTTGAAGATGTATATCAAACAGGAAAGAGAATTGTTAAAAATAAATTAATAATTTGTGAAAGAAAAAATATTTACCTGAACATTGTCAGTGGACAGTAATGTTCATCCCCATAGTGAGTAAGCATTTCCACCTTTACATACTTGACATAAAAATCATTTTCCACTTTGGTTTCAAACTTGTCCAGCCCTCTGTTCTCAGTTAATGTAAACACACCTAGACGGTGATATTCTTTGGTTGGATATCTGTACAAAAAAGATTTCATAGTAATTCACAAGAACTAATTCACATAGTTTTAACTTTCTGTCAGATATTTTAATTTACACTTGAATGTTACATACCTTCAGCTGAACTCATATAACTACATAACTCTTTAATAGCCTTACCTGTCACTAACACTAACACTGATATTCTCTGGTCTTGAGGAAAAAAGTTCAAAACTACCAGCCTCAATCTCCTTGATATAGATAGGTTCACACAGTTCAATCACAAACCTAAAATAATTAAATGTAAAATATTAATGTATAATTCAATCATAATGCGTTCTAACAAAAGAATATTTTCCTCTAGACTCTAGACTAAAATCTGTGTCTTGTCCAGAATTTGGATCCACCCACCATTTTTTGCTGACAGTACAGCGGTTGATCATGTATTCATCTTTGTTGTTGGTTAAAATTCGGTCCACATTTTCTGCCTCAGGGTTGCTGGCCAGAATCTTCGCCCCACAGTCTTTTGAAGCAAAATTCACCTTCTTTACACCATTCTTTTTCTTTGGGGCCACTACTCCTTGTTCCGACATTTCAGCTAAAGAACGAGAAAAAATTACAAAAAAATATATTTGAATGCTATTTAACATTTGTATAAACATGCATAGCACAGTAAAATGTGATAGAAAATAAACAGTTCTAGAACGTTAAATAACAAAACGTATAATTTGTTTATTAATATCATTTAAAGTTTTTTTTATAAGGGAAAAAAAACTGCTGAAACAAATGCTCATCATTTAAAAAAAAAAACTACAAAGAAACATTTCATACACTGCCTACCTTTCTGTTTGTTCTTTTCCTCTTCAGCCAATGCTTTTTGTCGCCATTCAGAAAATGTTTCAAAGTCTTTTTCAGCAGCCTCATCCTTTACCTTATATAACAAAAGAAAACTCAAATAAACAAACCACAGAAAAGGAAATCATCTACTTTACAAAATGTGGAACTCTTCTGTGTTCTCCTTTTACCTCTTTGACCCCAGGTTCAGAGGTCAGAGTTACAGGTTCCCCCTGGGTGGGTGTGGAGGTTCCAGCAGGCTGCTGGGGTAGCTTCTGTTCACTCTCTGGGGGTGGGGCTGGGGTATCCTTGGTTTCTTTATTTAGAGTTTCTGTCTGAGACTCTGATTCTGGTTCTTTCACTTTTTCAGTGCCCTCCTGAGATCTGTTACACACAAATATTGGATCAGTTCATAGAAATACATGAATTACTATATAATAAGCATATTGATCTCAATCTACAATATCCTTAAATGTCTTCGTGTAAAATTTTGAATGCAATGCCTAAATGTAGCCATTGAATCCGAAATTTTTAACCCACCTGTCCTGGTTTCCATTGATTTTGTTCTCCTGTGATGTTTCCACATTCACAGGATTCTGGGATTCTTTCCCTGATGTTCCCAAATCTGTATCATCTTTGACGACTGTTCCTGTTGAATCCTCAGCTTTGTCTGTGCTTTTTTCCTCAACACTGTGAGGAAATCAAAATAAACAATTAATTTACAAAGTATATATGTATATTTTTTTTTATGTTTTTTGTTATTATTTCCATGTGTTCTAAATATATCTGCATTTTAACTTTTTGATTGAATTCAGTTTTTATCCCCCTCAACAAGTTCCATTTTAAATGGAAGGGATCATACAGGATTAAAAATATAAAAAAGTGCATTTCATGCCATATGTTTGCAAATAACGCTAAAAAATACAGAATACACAACTATCAAAACACAGATCAAGAACTGATAAAACTTACTCTTGTTGGGTCTGTGTCTGTTTTTCAGGTTCACTTTTGTGGGGAGGTTCTGTATCTGACTCAGGGTCACTCTACAAAATGTTATCAATAGTCCAAGAAATTAGAATGAAGAATCAGTCATATTGAATTCATAGAATACTTTTTCATTTCTCTTTTTTAACAGAAATCAAAACACAACCTAAAAGCACCGTTTCATTAATTTATTCATATAGGAGTGAAAAAAAAAAAAGCAAACTTAAAGAACTTTACGGTAATCAATATTTTTCAAACTTTGATTATAATTTCTTTTAACAGTATATGATCAAAGGAATACATAAGGAATATGTACGTAATGACGTCACAAACATGACGTAAATTTAATTGCCAGAAAAATGTAAACGTCTGTGTAAGCGCATGCATGTTCAGGATCAATATTTTGATATTCTGTGTAGAATGATAATATCAATGAAATATGACACACATATAAATTTTAAAGCTAAAATTGTTGTCAATTTTGAGTTTGTGAATAAAAACAGAAACTGTGAATAAACTGCTTTGAAACTATAACATGTTCTGTTAATTTATATTTTTAGAATTTATTGAATTCTAGTTTTCAAAATTTGAAAAGCAATATACCGCATATAGTTCTTTACTCTTTAAATTATTTTCTTTTAACAGTATTGCCATAAATTTAATTGCCATGAAACCTATATAAGGATTATAACCAACATGATGTATTTTTGTCCTATAAAGCAAGACCAGAAAAAAATGCCATCATGACATAACCACTGAAGGACAACTTGTACACACAGTGTCCATCATTCTGTCCTGCTCAAGGCTGTACTTTATCATTCTTCATTTGTCATGTCTAACCTAAGAGTGCTCTTTTGTCGGAACTCAAAACCTCATTAATTAGCATATACACTTTTCTTTGACCTTAAACTTTCTATGAAAAAAAAAATTCTCCACATAAAGCTAATAATCTTCACAGTCAAAATGGCAAAGAAAAGGACAAATCTGAGACAGATTTAAGAAATGAACATCACATTTGGTTGTCTATAGTTAGATATCACAAGACGAAGGAGAATTTCTAATCTTGAGTAAGTTTATTGACATGATTGCAATACAAGCCACAGCTATCAAAGGCAATCTTTTACAAATTTAATTTTTTTTTTTATTCATCTGAGCTACAATTTTCATAAAATTTCATCTTAAAAGCTACAGTAAAACACGTTTAGTACGAACACGGATATAGCGAATTCACGGATATAACGAAGTTTTTCTTGGTCCCCGGCAAAATTTTTAACAAATCTTTGTAAAATTTTACGGTTATAACGAACTCTGATATAACGAATTTACGGATATAGCGAACTGATTTCGAGTCCCGTTGAGGTTAAATATAATGAATTTTACATCTTTTATAACGAACTTTAAAAGATTTCAAAATTTGAATAATTGAACTGACTTTATTTTCTCTCAGTATTTGTATATAAAATTCAATTCATAATAAAACATTAGTTATCGAAGGTATGTTTTGTAATATTTGCTTCCCTAACATATTTAATAGTAACCCTTGAAGGAAAACATGCATATTGCGAATTCGCTATGTATGGTTATACGAATTCGTTACACAGATATAACGAATTACGGATATAGCGAATTAAATTCACAGGTCCCCGGGACTTCACTATAACCGTGTTTTACTGTATTTGCAATCATTCATAGATTTAAAGCAGCAGTAAAAGATAAAAAAAAAATTCTATTTAATTATGCCAAGGACAACACATATCTTGCATCTCCAGACTCTAAAATTGATTTTACACAAGGAAGAAATTCTGCATTGCAAGCAAGACAAGCAAACACAGCTAACTGACTTTCCAACCACGGCATGTTCATTAAATTACATGCAGACTTAATCGTGTCTGACAGTCCCACACAAACTTATAAATAATGGCCTTTACAATAGTCTACACCTGTTACTTCGCAACAGATGGTGATACCTATATAAACATGTATATTTCTGATGTTGAAATTTAACCTGAATACAGATTTTTTATTACCTGTTCATTATTGGAAGACTTATCATTTTCCTTTCCATTTATTTTTTGTTCAGCTGATAATTCATCCACTGTCTCTTGACTCTGAAAATACAAAACAAAGATAAATCTGAAGTAATTTTATATTTGAATGACTTCACAAAATGATATTCCTGCTCTCTATAAATTTGAGTAGAATGCCAGAGTCCATGTTTTGCTACATGAGAAAGTCCATACATGAATCCAAACAAAACATAAAAATAGCACTAAGTAATAAAGATTCAGGGTAAGTCTCATTAAATTTCATTGAGTGGTATAGGAGGAGTTGTGGATAGGAGATGGATGCCCCTAATACTATAGAATGACAGTGTCAATGAAAATGTTTTGCTATAGGAATCTCAAAATGCATTTCTGATCATACATAAACACAAAGTTTTACATATGGAAGGAATTTGAAAATTTTAATAAAACATTTTTCAAGACTGGAGATGTCAAATGTATCATATTCATAAACAAATATACATAGTTGTATATATCTCAATAAGTACATGCTTTGCAAAACTGGCAGACATGCAAGTGATTACCAGCGAGTGCATGTGCAGCTCTGCAGTTTATTGCATAAGGTTCAAGGACAGACTATCTCCATAATTCAGTCTGAAATATTTGTCTCTTAAGGTTGGAATTAATTTCCTTATCTTCTTCATATCTGATTACATCATCTTTTGTTTTGCATGTCTGCCCTGCATGGTTTCAGATATATATATCACAAAATGGTAACATATGGGTATTATATGATTTAGAATACATGACACATTTTGAGTCGGAAACTGCTGTATTGGGAGCAACTAATCATTTGATCTCTAGCAAAACTGACTTGATCAGATATGCAGGTCTTATAATACTAATTACTTATCAAGAATTTTTTTAACATTTATATATAAATTTATATAACCATACATTACTATTTGACAAGTGTGTGCAAAGAGAAAGGTATTTAGAGCATACATTAATCTATTGATGCATTAAAGTTTTCTCAGTAATCACACATCATTCTGCTATATTATCTATTTCTTCTAACATATCTTTCTTCACACTTCATATAAAGATGATCAATTTTCTATATGTGCATCTGTTCTATTTTTCTACTTTAAAGTATATAATCCCCTGTCATATTCCCCTGACAAGATCCTTACAGCTGTAGGAGTACCTTAAATCACCTCTCTACGTAGTTAACTGTTTATCTTTATTGGAGTGTAGAAAGGAGTGCACTGGGACAAAAGGTGATCCCAACTGATAACCCATAAAAAACAGTAGGTGGTTGTGATTTCATTCAAGATTACACTCAAAGAAACAGAGAAATCCATTCACCAACAGTGTATACCACTGACCCATACATAAAATCTGTAGTACATAGTGTCAAAATGTATGGTAGGGATATTGGATTTTATGATACATGTACTGCTATATATATGTATACCTGTGTCTGGTGTTCTGAGTTAATGGCCTGCCCCTCCCCTGGTGGTTTAGCCTCCTCCACCTTGGATCCTCCCCTACCATCAACTGTCTGGCCCCCACTGGAAAATCTGTCAATACATCAAAAGAAAGTCTTTTATTGTAATGCAAGAGTATATGTGTAGAATGGTTTGAATTCTTTTGAGAGGTGCAATGGAAGACATTATATAAACCTAAGGCCACATTTTTTTTTACTATATAAAAATTGTATAATGATGTTTAGGTAAAAATGTATAATGAAACAGTTTTCATTAAACTGTTACATTGTGTATCTAATATGTTTTAAATGAGCTTGCATGCTTGTTTTGTTTTACAAACACTGTATATATATTTGTCAAGTTGTGGTCACATGATTTTAATCCACATTTTTTTTTCAGTCTCTTATATTGTGTAGTAATATTACATGAATATACACACACATGACTAAATAATAGGCAAAATCACTTATTAATAAGTAATAATTAATACATAATAACTTAGTATATCACTGATCTTTTTTTAATTCATGCAATCTCTGATATTTTTGTAGGCCAATTCAAGTCAGATATCCTATATGAATGGGATTTAAATGACTTTCTATTCTGGTATAAATCTTGACCTACATAATTCCAATATTTACATAGTATTTACATAGTACAGGTAAACTCAGAAAGGTATGTCATTCAGACCAAAATTGTAACAGTACGGACTCGTGTGTATTGAAAAATACAAACAGCATTCACTGTGATTATATTTAAATATACAGCTGACCTTTAAATGATTTCAAGAAACAACATAACATAAATACCTAAAATAATAATTTAAGTAAGTTGGGATGGGACTCAGTGATGGGTGCAGTCCATGCATGGACACGTATTAATGTATATTTACTTTTTAAATAAATGTCAGTATGTGAAGTTTTCTTAAACTGCTATAAATTTACACTAAGTATACTCACTTAAAATTTTAATTGACAGCAATTATTAAGACTGTATGCATAAATTAAACTTATAAAATTTACAATTTCTCAAAATCTTTAGCCTAAGGTTAATGACTTATTCTGTACACAGGTGCATAGTCATCGAATGAACTTTGTAATGTAAACAGATAAAAGTATAACTATAGTTGTTAACTTGTGTCATCATAGTACACCTTGTAAACATGACTTATCATTGTGACAATTAACAAAGTACATTAGTTAGGTACTTTTCCTCTCACTGCATCTCTGTGTAAACAGATACTTTGGACCTCCGTTGACTGAACTCAACATCCATCAAATTATTATTGAATATGCCATATCAATCTTTTTATCTAATTAATAGATTATAGTTAAAGACATGAGATTATGAAGAGATAAGTCTGACCTCTGACCTATTCCTTTGAAAAAAAAAGTTACTTTGATTTTCAACTTTTTAAATAAACATACATGTATTTTCATCAATTATCAATTAATTTAAAATTTTTATCATTTAATATAAAAAAAATTGACAGGTTTGACCACTGGACAGTTTTACACTTCATTAGAATGTAAGATTCTCCATCCATAATAAAGTATTTCAAGGAAGTAGTTCTTACATATTTTCAAAGAAAAAATAATCATCATGCAAGACCAATGTTCTAGATGTTGGAGACGTGTATTGATTGTTTTTTCTTCATATCTTATACGGATATCCTTCAAACACGTTAAGGATATTATTTTTATCGATTGACTGGATTTATTCCATTTACATTTTTTTAAATTCCTGAGAGATTTTACTCATTTAGTGAGTACATGTAATAATATTAATGAGACAAGTTTCAAGCTTCTTTGCATGCATAAATTGTGGTCATGATAACTGCAACTTTCTCACATGTAATTTGTTAGCATTAAAATAGTATTTCAATTATTTCAAACTACAATTTAATATCCTAGAACAAACCTCTGTGTGATTTAAATGGGATATTATTATGCTTAAGTAAGCTTTTTTTTCTCTAAAATCAATAATGACCATAGAAATATATAGTGTTTTCTTCAGCAACTCAGGCCAGGTACATTAGACCATGTTACACGGTGTTCTCTAAATATTGATCATAAGAATGTTTCAAATCATTTGCATACATTGCTAACAATCTGATTTTCATCAATTCCCAGTGGTTCTCATGATATAAGTATTACTATGTACTGGTAGTTGGTCTTATGTGTACATAATTTTCTCTGTATGGACATTACATATGGCCCAGCATCAATCATTCATTGATCTGACGTCTTTTGATCAAGGTACAATAGGTTAATGACAAGATTTACATAGGATATGTGATATACTGATATATTACATGTTTTGCAATCTGCATCATTATATTTTATGTACATCAGACAGAAAATGTTCCATTTAACGATCTATTTTTTAAATAACTTTGTATCAAATCTTATTCTGCTGCTTGTCTTTATAGTTTCATTGAAAGACCTTTATGCCATAAAAGGAAGAAAAATCAATATATACTTCTTTTATACACAAATTTCATCACCTACATCATTTCGACATTTGAATTTGTTTCATGTTTAGTGAAAGTTTAAGCGATTAGGCAGAGCTTTGAAATATAAAAACACTTACCCTAACAACAGATTAAATATCACCAACTGAATTAATCTGTCTGACTTCAACATGTTCTTTAGATCAACTCATTACATCTCTTTCACATTTCTACAGCTCTGATGACCGACTTTCCCCATTCTGTGTTGACTGTGGATAGCTCAACTTCCGGCGACGTGTATCAATATAATACGCATGCGTTTGGAAAACCCCCTTCCAAGGGTTAATCGGTCAGTGTATTTATAGGTCATGGGGGTTCCACCTGCATATTTTCGAAGGTCCCTTTATCATTTATTTAATAATTTCATGTTGTTTGCATTTATTAGCCAAACAATCTTGCATATATATATATATATATATACACCACAAAAAGAATACGTCATTTTTTTTTTAAAGACAATTTCCCGGAAATACATTGAACACTTGTTTTGTTTCTGCTTTTCTTTTCATTTACTGCGAGCCTGTCATCTTGAAAGCTTCATTGGCAACAAAGTGCTTGTTCTTTTTCCTTGATTATCAAAATGCCACCCAAAAAGAAGAAGGGAAAGGGGAAAGGAAAGAAGAAGAAGAAGGATGGTAATCAAGCGATACATATAAATTTACGGAATTATTTCGATCTTTTGGTTTGACTAAATAAATAGTTATCTATTGTCAATACCATAGTATTGAATTGATACTGTATGTACCGATTGTAGCCAGGTCTAGGAAAATCACTATATTTAGCTATATAGAATAGAATAAATAGATATATACTTTTTTTACACAAATTTCAGGGCCCATTAGGCATAAACATTTAACATATATAATTACATATAAACATGTATTAAAGTAATAGAAAGTACAACATGTGGTGAAGAGCTTTCTTCTATAAAAGTATATATATATACTGATATATATGTTGGTGGCAATTTAAGTTTCATATACAGACATACATGATGGTTTGTTGTACAAAAAAAAAGTGTGCATAAGTATCATTCATGATATACATATATATGTAAATATATACATATCAAAATGCATAAAACTATGTTTGAAACATCAACAGGAGGCACAAAAATGTTTGTGAAACTCAAAATGATGTGGGCGGTGCGTGTAAAGGATATACAGAATTCGCACTTCTGCCTCATGTAGAATAAACAGACATAAAATTTATGGAGATAAACATATATTATATAAATAAATTATACATTGACACATGTGTTAATTAAACTAAACTACAATGGACAGCAAGAGTCATTTATTTAGGATAGTATCATTGTTATTATACATGTATTAAAGTTACAACTTCTGTCCATATATATATATATATATACAACACAAATATCAACAACACCTTTACATAGTGTAGATAATTATCCAACCAAGGTACTTCAAATGATTTTGAATTTTTGAACTTACATGACTTATGAATTCACACAATTTGAACAGCACATCAACATCTTCACAGTTCATTAACCATAAAAATTGGTTATTTTTTGACAAGCTATTAAAAAATGACACCTCATAGATATCATGGATAGTAAATTTATTCTTGATTGACTATGGCATGGACAACTTATCAAAACAACTTAAAAGAAAATGTACTTCATCTTCTATCTCTTCTATTTTACAATTGGGGCATATTCTCTCTTCTCTTGGAATACGTAATGTCTACCTTTTTCAATCATCAGATTTGAGAAGATATTCTAAATTTTGTTAGAATCTTTCTTTTTTCAAACTTTCTTAAAATTAATAAATGAGGTTCTAGCCCAAAGTTCTGTTTAATTGTGCAATAGGTGTCCAATTTCCCACAATTACTTAATTCTTCCTTCTTTTGATACTATATAGCTAAATCTACTTATATAGCTTTATTTACCAATATAATATAGCTTTATTTAGCTATTTCAGAGTAAATTTCTGTTTTATGAAAAGCAGACAAAAAGTCGCAACAATTCACCCAAAACCCATTTTAAAAATGTTTCTCCTTTTGTGCAGTTGCATTCAAAGATCTAAAAGTTTTGGGGCTATGTATAACGGTTAATCTGTGATTAAGCAGCTACTTTAACAAAGAAAAGCAGTTTTGTTTTGGTCAACAAGATAACTGATTGGTAATAATTCAGCACAATGCAAGGCAAACCTTTTTAAAAAAATATCAGCCATAATTTTCAGGCGATTTTTTGTCTGCTTTTCATAAAACAGAAACTTATTCTAAAATAGCTAAATAAAGCTGCATTATATAGGTAATAAAGCTTTAGGTAAATTAAGCTATTTAGCTAAATATAGTGATTTTCCAGGACCTGGTAGCTAAATAGTTTTGTACATTTATTATACATAAACAAGAAAAGAATTTCAATAGCTTTACATGTATTTACTATTTATAAGTACACTGTATTAACAATCTAAATTTATAGTGTCCATATGTTCAAATAATGATGAATGGAAATTTTAAAATTGAAATGTGAGAAAAAAATTTAATTTAAATTTAAAACAGAAAATAGACCTTGGTATGGCAAGTAATTAAGTGTTCTATAAGGCAAAGTTATTATAGTGATCATAATGTACTCAAAAATAAAAAGTTTGTGTTAAAAGTAAGGTTTTCATTTTCGTGATTATTTCCCTTTAAAAATGATGTGGTTTTTGCAGATGCACAGTTGGCATTAGATGACCAATACACACAAACGATGAACAAAATAGAGGCATTAAAGGATCATTTGGGTATGTGTATATCATAATACAATCCTCCATGTACATTTCAATAAAAAAAAACTATTGTTTCTTTTCATAGAGGTATATTTCAGAGTAAATTATCTTTTACTTTTTATCAGCTGTAAGAAAGGAACTTGCTCGTCGTAACCAGGCAGCGGAGGAAAGCATGAAAGCTCAGATGGATGAGACCAAGGGAGAACTAGAGGAAGTCAAGAAAAATCAACTGGACATCACAGCTGGTAAAAAAATCAATACATGTTATCAGAATTTTGTTGTCAAAGTTATGAAGAATTTCAATAAATTTTATTTATTGTCTGCAGATAAACCTTGAGCATTTGCATTAATAGAATATGCTGTTCCTAATTAGAAGTCTTTCATGTTTTCAGCAATAAATGGAATTTGAAAACAAACATTTTTTTTTCAAATTTTTTATTGGAGCTTATTAAAAAATATGAAAGCTAAAAAATTCAATATTGCATAATATTAGGGATGTCAAATCGGTCAATTTTTAATACTCGGTTACTCGGACGTTTTTCCGATCGAGTACCCGGGTACTCGGTAAAAGTGTATATAAATATGAACAAGTAAACATTGTAAACTCTTGTAGAAATAAAACCACATGCTTTGATAGGAGGTTTACCCGTTAGTGTATTTCTGTTGTATCAACGATGAGCACTTCGTGCCCGATGAAATTTAATATAACATCGTTTATTTTCAATTTATTCATCAGATAAACACAAGAAATAAAATCATAAGTAGTTCACAGATTTTTTGTTTCAAAAATTAATCTGCTCCGTATATTGTAATGTAGCTCTTTGTTGCGTTTGACGTCCAGGTATCAGTCGTACAGTTTAACTTGAACTTGATCAAGTTCGCCTAACAGAGAGCGGATTTACGGTTTTAATACACTTTTCGCACATAGATTTTCTAGTATTATGGGACGGTATTTTGTAGTTTGGTGCAATGATGGACATAAGTTTTTTTTAAGCCTTTGGCTTCAACCATTTGTATTGGCACGTAATCAAACACGACCATATCAACAATCGCGCGGGCAATATCATCTGTCTCTTTTCCCGATAATTTTTATAAGACTTCTCGCAGAATTAACAAGATTGTCAAATTTATTAAATCATAATAGACCTTAAACGATGTTCAGTGAAAACAAATAATTAAAGTTAATCAAAAATAAGGGTAGAAGACAGCCAAAGGTGAGAAAAGCCAGGTTACAGGTGCTTGGTCTAGATAATTACTGTATAAACATTGCCACGGGCGATAACGGTCATTTAGAGGAGTAGGAAACCCTAATTACTGTATGTACAAGTGCAATGAGTATTTTACCTTTTAAAATAGATTGTTTAATGTGTTAATAAGTAAGCTAAGAAATATTCAAAAATATACATCCGAGTAACCGAGTACTGATTTTAGTATTCGATACAATTCGGACGTTCGAAGGGTACAAAAGAGACAGGAGTACCCGGTTAACCGGGTACTCGTTGACATCCCTACATAATATCCTTCTCCAAAAGATGATAATATCGTTGAAGATGAATTTCATGGATTGAAATTTTATGATAAATTGTTTATTTCAGCAATGACAACACAGTACAAAACTATGCAAACTAAAAAGAATTATACAATCCATCAACTGGAACGGGAACTCACACAAACAACAAAGCAATTAAGTAAGTCTAAAAGGAAAGAGAAAGATTTTCTTAACCCATATAATGATATTACATGTATTTTCTTTAAAAATTCCTCACAAACTTGTATTGACCTGTTATCACTACATGTACTAGATTTTTTAGGGGGCAGGAGTAGATAACAGGAAGTTTCATTTTTATTTATTAATTAACAATATATTGTTTGCCAGAGGAAACAGAAAGAAAATTGAAAGAGACAGAGGATGAGAGAGACAGAATCATCAAGGAGAAGGATGAAGAAATCGCTGAGCTGAATCACGGAATGCAAGCTCTAGAACACAGCTATAAACGCATTCTGGATGTAAGTGTATCTCCCTGCAAAAGCAACCCCTTTAATATATCATAGGTACTCAGTCACTCAAAACAAAACATTCCCTTAAATGGCCTTGCTTCAAGACCAACGATGTGGGAATTGACTTCAGTGAAGATTTTGATTATCTGAGTTTTATTTAACATAAATATGTTTAAATTTTTGCAGGTTTGTACATGTATAATATTCAGATTTAAACAAATGAACTAAATTTTGCCTCATCAAAATTATTTCAAAAACTAAATTGATTTGAAATTTTGGCTTAAGTCTGTTCTTATAGTTTATCAATGGTCTTTTGGCCTGATTTCTGCAACTGGTGAATTTATGATTTGCACTCTTTTTTTGGAAATTCCCAATGTATGAATGTGAGTTATCAATAGAAACATGTTATTTTCATTGTTAAGTATCCTTTATACTTCAGTTGTGAGAAAAACTGATATAGCCATTAACTATACAAAA